AGGCCAGCCAGGTATTCTAGGGGAAAGGACAGTTCAGATAGAAAAGGGAACACCAAATGGAGGGTGTTTGGAGGATCCTCCCAGGAGGGGAGATGCAGGTTGAAAGTAGACTGGACTGAACATGTTTGCCACTCAATGCCTCTTTTGCTGATCACAACACCCAAAAGGAGAGAGAGAGAACAAAAGGGAATGCCCTGCCACAGTGGCAGGGGGGAATGGGGGGGGATGGGGGGGATGTGGTGGAGGGATATTATCCTGGTGTTGGAAAATGGGCACTGGTTGAGGAATGGGTATTTGATCATGGTATGACCGAAATCCAAGCACAAAAATTTGTAAATCTACAACTGTACCTCATGGTGTTTCACTAATAATAATAATAATAAAAAGAGTGCTGCAATAAACAGACAATTGCAGATGTCACTTCGATTATACTTTTTGCCTCTCTTGGATATATTCCCAGGAGTGATATTGCTGGATGAAATGGGAGCTCAATTTCTAATTTTTTGAGAATTTTCCATACTCTTTTCCAAAATGGCTGAACCAGTTGGCATTCCCACTAACAGTGAAGGAGTGTCCCTTTCTCACCACATCCACACCAGCACCAGTTGCTTTTGTTCTTCTAGATATGAGCCAGTCTCTGAGGTGTGAAGTGATATCTCATTGTGGTTTTGATCTGCATCTCCCTGATGATTAATTATGTGGAGCATTTTCTCATGTGCCTTTTAGCCATTCGGATTTCTTCTTTGTGAAAGTTTCTATTCATTTCATCTCCCTATTTTTTGATGGAGTTGAATGTTTTCTTTTTGTGGAGTTCAACCAGTATTTTGTATATCCTTGAAATTAACCGCTTATCAAATGTGTATTTGGGGAATATCCTTTCCCATTCTGTAGACTGTCCTTGTATTTTGGTCACTGTTTCTTTTGAGGTGCAGAAGTTTCTTAGTTTAAGATAGTCCCATTTGTCTATCTCTGTTGAAAACATAATTTAATTTAATTTATTATGTGCTTTGTGAACTTTATCTTAAAGTTGGCAAACTGTGACGTGTTTTTTATTTTAAGTTATGTAATATTCTTCATTTGGGTTTTTAGGACACTGCGTTTTGCCTTCTGTGGAACATGGTCATTCTGATTATTCACAAGTAACACATTTGGAAGGAGAAACTGTGAAAATTACCTGTGATATAGGCTACAGTCTCCCAAATAATCAGAGGGGAATTACATGTACAGAAAGTGGCTGGTCCACTGAGCCTATATGCATTCTGTACCATAAGTAGAAATCTGTCATCGGCAATCTAGCATTTCTTTCTATTTATAAAGCAGGTGCTAGAAAATATGTACAGTGTAAATCTTGTTATTATTTTCATATTTTTACTATTAATAATACCTCAGTAGAGATAAGAAATCTCATTCTCTTTATTTGTGAGTCTTTTTAGTGATTTATCGATCTTGTTTATGAACTCTTGGTGTCATTGATCTGTCATCGTGTTTTGGGCTTCCATCTAGTTAGAAACTGCTCCAGACTTTAGTTTGAGCTCCTTTTGGGTTTTTTTTTTATGTGTGTGTGTAAAAATATTTAATAGTTAATTAAAAAACAATTTGCTACTGCTACATATACATAGTCATTTATCACTTATCACTTAACTTCCCATTAGTCGTCGATTTGCTCGAGTGGAAGCCAGTAACGTCTCCATTTGTCCCTGTCGCATGCTAGTGTAGCCCAATGGCATCTGTTCACTCTGGGAACATGAAGAGCCTCAAACAAATCATTCATGATCTTGATGAAGAAGTCTGACTATCTGGTAGGTGGGCGGCCACGCGGTCTTTTGACATTCCATGGGATCCAGTCGGTAACAGCTCTAGTCTAGCGGTCGTCTTTAAATCTCATTACGTGGCCAGCCCATCTGATTGTTGACACTTTGGCAAACGAAACAGCGTCCCTGATTCTTGATAGTCGACGGATGTCGGAACTCTGGATTCTTTCTCTCATTTAAGTGAAACGTGATATTCCAAGCATAGCTCTTTCAATTCCTCTTTGGGAGACCCGAATAGCATTCTCATACTGCTTACAAAGGCCCCAGGTCTCTGAGGCATATGTTAATGCAGGAAGAACAGTAGTGGAATCAAAGAGATATGCCCGGAGCCAGAGGTTCTTCGTCCTCTTAGCTGTTTTTCGACGTTCTTGAAGGCGTTCCAAGCTGCTCTCTTCCTCCTGCGCAGCTCGGGTGCTAGATCATTTGTCATGTTGACTTCTCGACCTAGGTACACATAGCTGTTGCATTCGGAGATGGTCGTTCCGTTGAGAGCGAATGGGGCATCAGGAACGAGGCTGTCTCTCATAAACATTGTCTTCGTAAGATTCAGCTGTAGTCCTACCTTTCCACACTCACTTGGTATGTTGGCAAGTGGACATGGCTGTCTGAGTTCATCATGTCGACCAAGACCATTCATGGTAACTCACAGTTCCAGAAGGCAGAATCTAAACATTGGACATGGGAGTCTCCCGATGGACGATTCCACAACGAAATAGACCACATCATATTCAATCGACGGTTTTGCCTGAGTGATGTCGCTGTTGTCCCAAAATTCCGAACGGGATTGGACCACCGTCTCCTTCGTGCAAAATTCTACTTACAAAGCGGGGAGAAAGGGCTGCAAAGTTTAAAAAGAGAACTCCCAGAACGACTACCAACTGGGAGCTCTTTGGCACTATAGCGGCAACATGGGAAGATGCCATTGTTGACAACATTGACGAGGAATACGATCGACTGGTTCAGCACCTCCATGATTGTGCGAGGAACACCAAGATAGAGATAGCCACAAAAAAACGTCTGTCTTCGAAAACTCTTGAGCTTATTCACCAACGTGGTTTGGCTCATGCCTCAGGCAACCGCAAGCTAACGTCCGAGCTCACAAAGCAGTGCAGAGATGCGATCAAGGAAGACCTCAAAGAGAGAAGAGAGAAGTGTTGGTAGATGTGGCAGAAGCCGGGAAAAGTATTCGTAACGCCCGCCTGTCCTTCGCCAACTACAAGACCAAGATGACTGCCCTCCAATGTCCTGGTGGATCCATCACATCCTCCAGAACGGCAATGGAGAAGATTATCCATGACTTCTACTCAAATCTCTTCCATAGCCATATACATAGTAAAGCATATTAATAAGGCAAATTCTAGTGTAACTATGCTCCAACTTATTTTTTTTAATTTTTATTAGTGAAACACCATGAGGTACAGTTGTAAACTTACAAATTTTTGTGCTTGGATTTCAGTTATACAATGATCGAGTACCCATCCCTCCACCAGTGCCCATTCTCCACCACCCCTAATCCCAGTATCCCTCCCACTCCCCATCCCCCCATCCCACCCTGCCTCTGTGCCAGGGCACTCCCTATTGTTCTCTCTCTCCTTTTGCGTGCTGTGGTTTGCAAAAGAGGAATTGATTGGCCATCTGTTTGGTCTATAGTCTACCTTTTAGCATGCATCTCCCATCCTGGGCGGATCTTCTCAGCACCCTTTATTTGGTGCTCCCTTCACTATGTGAGCTGCCTTCAGTCCTAGAGAGTGAGGCTGGCCTCCAAGCCATGGAGTAAATCTCCTTTTGTTGGTCAGTTTCCAAGATCTTAAATTATGATTAAATTATTTCTATGTGCTCTTTCTTTCTTCCTGATGAATGCTAGTAGAGCCATAGACTTTCCTCTTAATACTGCTTTTTCTCTGTCCCACAAGTTCTGGTCATTTGTGTGTTTATTCTCCTTTGTTTCCAAGAATCTTTGGATTTACACTTTGACTCTCTCTCTAGGTCACTGGTTGTTACTAGTGATTTGTTTAATTTTTATGCTTGGTTTGATTCTCCATTTCTGGGTCTGATTCACTTCTATTTTCAGTTTTTCATTGTCCAAAAAGATAGTTGAAATCATTTCTATCTTCTTAATTTTCTGCAGTTATGTTTTATAGTCCTGTGTGGTATATCTTGGAGAATGTCCTGTGTGCACTGGAGAAGTGTATTCAGCTTTGGGGTAATGAAAATTCCTATTTATATCAACTCCTTCCTCCTCATCCATTTCTTCTTCTCTTCCCAAATGAGTTACAATCTTAATTAGGACCACTTATGAGTGATGAGATTTTTTGCTTACTTCACCTTTGCCTCTTTTTCTTTGGGGTTGTCACTTTTATTAGGATAAAGTTCAATATGTATCTCTAGGTCTAAGTTCAATCTACTTGGAGTTTGCTGAGATCCATCTATATAAAAAAGTTTTTTATCAATTAGGAAGATTTCAACTATCACTTGAATAAGAATTCATTTTTCTTAATAAGTCACGGTCGTCCTGTTATTCATCTATTTCCTCAAGCGGGCCCAGTAATGTCTCCATGGTGAGACTTGTTATTACTGTGTTTAGCATATTGAATACATCAAAAGTTGCTTGCCAGGCTTTGCTGTGCAGGCGAGATACTCTCGGTAGCTTGCCTGGCTCTCCGAGAAGGGCGGAGGAATCGAACTCAGGTCGACCATGTTGGCCTCTTGCAAGGCAAATGCCCTACCTGCTATGCTATCACTATCTTCCTCAGGTGTAACATCCATTGACCTATGGAGATCATTCTCTCTTCTGTTATAATGTTTTGTTTAAAGACCTCCATTTGCAATAATTTAAGAGTTCTTCAGGCATCAACTTCTTTTCTTTTTCCCCAAACTAATTTTCTTGCATCAATATCTTAAATATAGAAAAATTAAAGTTGACCAATTCTACAGCATTTTTAAAATAGTGTGTCATGTCCTTAGTCTCATTATTTTAATACAAAAAAAATCTGGGGACGAAGAAGACCCCCGCAGTGCTGGTTCCTAACATAGAGCTGCGACGGATGGGAAAAGGGACCACAGAAGGCCCTCGGGAACTGCCCTTTGTCCTCTGCCTATCCAATCCAGGTATTGCTGGGCACAGGAGGTCTTCCCAGAGCAGTGAGACTGAGACTATTGGTGCAGAACCCATTCCTAACATAGAGCTGCGGGAGACAGAAAACAAGAACGCAGAAGTCTGGCAGGATCTGGCCTTCTTCGACCGAATCAATAGAGGTATTGCTGGCCATAGGGGCCTTTCCAGGGCCGAGGGACTGAGAAGGCCAGAGCAGGGCCGGTTCCTAACATAACGTTGGGAAGGTTGGCAACCAGAAATGCAGAAGGCCCGCAGGAACCGCCCATTGTCCTCCACCCATTCAATCCAGGTATGGCTTGGCACTGGGGGCCTTTCCAAGGCCATGATACTGAGACTACTGGTGCAGGGTCCATTCCTAACATAGAGAGGTGAGAGACAGGAAACAGGAATGCAGAAGACTGGCGGGAACTGGCCTTCCTCCTCGGCGAATTCGATAGAGGTATTGCTGGGCACAGTGGGCCTTTCTAGGGCTGCGGGACTGAGAAGGCCTGAACAGGGCTGGTTCGTAACATAACACTGGAAAAAAATGGGAAAGGGGAACCCAGAAGGCGTGCGAGCACCAACCTTTGTCCTTCGCCTGTCCAATCCAGGTATCGCTGGGCACAGGGGGCCATTCCAGAGCAGCGAAACTGAGACTACTGGTGCAGGGCCCATTCCTAACATAGAGCTGCGAAACACAGGAAACGGGAATGCAGAAGGCCGATGGGAACTGCCCTTTCCCCTCCGCCAATTCAATACAGGTATCACTGGGCACTGGGGGTCTTTCCAGGGCCATGAGACTGAGACTACTGGTGCAGGGCCGGTTCCTAACAAAGAGCTGTGAGAGACAGTAAACGGGACCTCAGAGGCCTACAGAAACCGCCCTCTGCCCTCTGCCCACGCAATCCAGGTATTGCCTAGCACTGGGGTCTTTCCAGGGCGCACCCAGAGTTGTTCTCCTCCTCTTACCCCATAAGAACCAGAAGTTAGTCTCTTATGTGGAACATTCACTGCAGCACTTTAATCAACAGAAACACATTAAACCAATAACTCATTACGCACATCTCAATTAATAGTACTCCAAAAACACAATAGTAACAGTGAGCGTGAAGGTGTAAACGACACAGGTCAACAATGGCAAAGCAATGCAGAAGCTTACTTAGTGGAGAGACTAGCTCAGATGACCCCAACAGTAATGAAGTGCTAGGCAACCTCTCTGACAGGATTTAAAAGGGAGTTTCTGAGGATGCATATGGAGCTAAAAGACACAATGGAACAAAGCACCAATAAAATGCAGGAGAATTTTAAAGTAGAAATGGGAAAAATGCAATCAAAACTACAAATGGAACTGACAGATGTGAAAAACCAGGTAAATGAATTGAAAAACTCTATGGAAGGCCTCATCAGCAGAGTAATAGCTGCTAAGAATAAATAAGTGAGCTTAAAGATCAACTGCAGAGACACTCCAGAAAAGAGCAGAAAATGGAAAAGAGACTCACAGTCAGAGAACAGATGTCAAGAGAAGATAGGGATGAAGCCAAAAGGAATAACATAAGAATTATCGGAGTCCCAGAGGGACAAGAAAAAAACCCTGATGAAGAAGAATCTGTCAAAGACATCATTGCTACAATATTCCCAGAGCTAAAGAAGATATACAACCACATTCAGGAGGCCAGAAGGGTTCCAGCTAGAAGAAACCCCCCAAAAAAGTACCCCAAGACACATCTTATGAAAATGAGGAAAACCTTAGACAGAGAAAAAATTCTGAAATCAACAGAATTAAAGAAAAAATTGCCTATAAACGTGCATCCTTAAGACCTAAAGCTGACTTGTCTGATGAAAACTTCACGGCTGGAAAACAGTGGTGGGATATAGGGAACAAACTCAAAAAAATAAATGCATCACCAAAAATACTTTACCCAATTAGACTTATTCATATCAGAAGGAACGACACACAGTATCAGAGACAAACAACAGGTCAGAGACTTCATAGACTCAAAAGTCTGGTTACAAGAACAACTAAATGGGCTAATTTAAGACAAAACAAGCCCCACAGATATACCAAATTTTTGCAAAAAGATGAGACAAAATCATATAACAATAATCTCTTTGAACATCAATGGTATAAACGCATCAATTAAAAGACACAGAGTGGCCGGATGGATCAGAAAATTGAACCCAACATTCTGCTGCCTGCAAGAAACACATCTGAACAGTCAGAGCAAACAGACTTAGAGTCAAAGGCAGGAAAACAATTCTACAGGCAAACAATGCCAATAAAAAAGCTGGGGTGGCCATTCGGTATCAGACGACATTGATTTCAAACTGAAGAAGGTCACAAGAGACTTGAAGTTCATTTTGTGTTGATCAAGGGATCTGTACAGCAGGAAGAACTTACACTCATAGGTATATATGCACCCAGTGAGGGACCAGCAAAGTGGTTAAAGCAACTAAACAGAGACTTGAAGGAAGACATTGATAGCAGCACAATACAAGTGAGAGAAAATGCAGAGAGCATGATGAAATGTACAGAGGATGGCTGGTCCCCCCCTTCCAGCTGCATCCATACCAGTAAAAGGGACCTCAATTTTTATGTTCCTTTTTAAACTGATATATATCAATTACACATAGTTCATATCAACTGTTTCCTTCTTTTTACAATGGGCTGATTTAATTGCTAGAGTTTCTATGTGTGAATATACACATTTTTTATAAGCACACAACAAAATGTGTCAGGTAAGCATTGAGGATTGTAGCTAGTCTTTTTTGAATGTTTGGTGAACTTAATAGTGAGCCTATCAGAACCTGAAATATTGTTCTTCAGGGACATCTTAAATCGCTCTTTCAATGTACTTTTGTATGATTGGTCTGCCAGGTATTTCCTTTGCTCTCTCATTTTTACCTCTTCCTAAATAATTTTTGGGAGACTGCAGGGTTCTAAGATTGCATTCTTTTCTTCAAGATTCTCCAGCTTAGTGGCATAGAGTTTTTCCACAGTAACCTCTTATGATGTTTCACATTTACTTTTTTGTCTCCCTTTTAAAACATGTTCACAATTATACATAGAATTTGAGGGATTTTTTTATGAAGCTGACATTACATATTCCTTATATAAGTAAACACAATATAAGTGCAAACTGGGATATATAATAGCATACAGTGAAACAATCGGATCAAATACATTCATCAGAATGGACAATGACTTTAATATTCATTAGTGAGTCATTATATCAGCATTAATTATCTTAACAATAGTTCTACAAAGCTTACTTTAACTTACTGCTTCTATAATTGGGGAGAGCATGCTGATGTACCTCCATTTAGGAGAAAAGTTGTAAGTCTTTACATTTTTGCGTTTTTAAATAAACTGTCAGTAAAATATCAGCCCATCTTTCAGTTTCAGTTATTTCTGTTATACAATGTATTTTTGGTTTAGAAACTATTAAGTATTACTTAGAAACTAGTGGCCCGGGGAGAGAGTACAGCATACAGCACTTGCCTTGCACCCAGCTGACTCATCCCATATGATTGCCTAAGCCTGCCAGGAGTGATTCCTGGGGGCAGGGCCAGGAGTAAGCCCTGAGCACTGTTAGGTGTGGCCTCAAAATCAAAAATCAAAACCAGAAACTTATGTGTATACTTGTTCGTATTGAACATTTATACGAGAGATCTATGTTATTTACAATTTCTGTTTTCAGCAGAGCAAAATTCATGCAGTTTTTGCTCCCCCAAACTAAAAATTATGCCTTAAAAGTTAAGATACATAACTTTTTATGGTACATAACTTTGCAATTATATATATAACACAATTTGTATTTTAAGTATTGCAGCCAAGACACACTCTGGAAATATGACTAATACTAGAAAGTTTTACTGAATTTATAATTAGTGGAGACAGAAAAATCTCTAGATACGACCAAATAAATACTGTTTTAAGGTGTTTCCTTGTACAATACCTTGATGCTTATTATTATTTTCTGAGAATAGTTTCTCAATTTATTTTGTGTTTTCTCAAATATACTCAGTGATTATATTATCTTGATACTTAAGTGAAAATAATAAAATATACATTTCAATGTTTTTATTTTATTTCTTTTTCTTACATTATATGCTGACAATGAATAGTAATTAAAGAAATTATGAAAAATTTGCCCCACACAGTATTTAGTTAGAGCAAATTGTTATCAATTAACCAATACAATACATTTATTATAAAGAGAAAATGCCTTTAGCGCTTATACTAGAATAAACATATATACTAGCTTAGCTAGTATACTTCTACAAGTAATCTGTATAATAGTATAATTAATTAATAAAAATTTATTATACAAAAATAATTATATTGATAACTATACTAGTATAATAATACTTACTTTACTAGATTTTATTATATTTATAATAATAATATTTCATAATTCATAATAATAATACTTATTTTCCTAAGGTTGCAGCGTTAGTACAGCGGGTAGGGCATATGCCTTGCAAATGGCCAACCTTTGTTCAATTCCTCCGACCCTCTTGGAGAGCCCAGCTAGGTATCAAGAGTATCTCACCCGTACGGCAAAGCCTTGCAAGCTGCCCGTGACGTATTCAATATGCCAGGCACAGTAACAACAAGTCTCACAATGGAAACGTTACTGGGCCCGCTTGAGCAAATCAATAAACAACGGGGGGACAGTGCTACCGTGGTACTAGTTTTTACTTTCTAAAAATTAATCTGTCAGGATATCTAGCAAATTATATCTAACATAGAGATGAATACAAAATATTTATCAATAATTTACTGATGCACATATAGTATTTAACAAAATATTTGACAAGAATACCTTTATTAAAATCACTGTAGTCCAGTAAAAATGAAAAATGACATTTTTCCATTTATATTTTTTTCACTACTTATAAATAATAAGACTATATATATTCAACTTGGTAAGTACGAAAGAATACATTTCCATTAGCAAAATATTTGAGAAAACAAAATAAGTTTTGTTTTGAAAACTCATATATTAAAAAGTAGAGTTTCATAAAATGACAATTTAATTGCATTATTGAAAATTAAACTTCTCATTTAATTGAAACATTTTATTCTTGCATATATTTCACAACTATTATGATTTGGAATCATAATTCAAAAAGTGTTATATTTATAATCTCCTACAGAATAAAATGTACTACAGAATAAAATGTATCTATAATGATTCATGTTTTTAATTTGCATGCTTATATACATAAATATAATTAAATTGGTAAATGTGCTTCAATTTTTCAAGGCAGTTAAAAATAAAACCTGTCTTTTCCATCTTGTGTAACATTCAAGGCAATGGTTTATCACTTTTGTTTTCAGATTTTTTATTTTGATACTCTAAAATCACATGCTAAACAACTCACTATTACCACTTTGGAGTAAGAGTTGCTCAACTAAATTGCCTCTAAACAACATTAGAATGAAATACCTAACTCTATCAAGCTTTAGAATTCTGTTATAGACCAACATTTGAGAATGCCAGAACACAGAGTCGTGGCAAACGGTTTAAGGTCAATGACCATCTGGAGTATGACTGTAACCCTGGATTTGAAAACAAACATGGAAACACCTCAGGGACCATAGTATGTGGTGACAGTGGCTGGTCTGATACACCAACATGTTTTGGTAAGTTCCATTTTTCAGCTGTTCTTTCTGAGAATATCAAACGAGCACATTCCTCGAGTTATTTGCAAGGAATGCTTATTTAAAAGTATTATCTTCTGATTTGATATAAACTAAAAAGAGAGTGTTTTAAGACCAAGAGATAAATAATCAAATCACAACAAATGGCTGCTTCCTGGAGAGGGCCATGTAAAGATTAAAGAATGTGATTAAAGAATGATTGTGTTTGTCACCGAAGTGCAAGTTTTCATATTGTTTAAAACATCATGCTTTATTAAATTTTGACTTCTTTCAACTTCCTCAGTTATTTTACAACAAAGTTGTGGCTTGCATCTCCCCACTAAAAATTAATGTATAAAAAAAGTTGTGATATAGATGCACACATATAGGGTTCCGAAAAGAATTCAGCAAGATAGACCATATCCACATGATAACCAAGCTCACTGAGATTTCTCGGGAGTTCAAGATGCCACTCTGTTTAATGGTCATTGATATAAAGAAGGCCTTTGATTCTGTTGAGACGGATGTAGTCATTGAAGCCCTAGCCAAACAGGGTGTTCAAACTGAATACATCAGGATCCACCATGAGCTATATTACAGATTCACTACCAGGATCTCACCGTGCTACAAGGAAGTGATCATCCATTTCAAGAGAGGAGTTTGGCAGGGTGATACCATTTCACAGAAACTCTTCATTGCCAGTCATTTGCAACGACTAGAATGGTAAGGAATGGGAGTGAAGAAAGATGGTTGGCAACTATACCACCTCTGCTTTGCTAATGACATTGTGTGAAAAACAGCAAATATTAGCCAAGCGGCACAAATGCTGGCCGACTTCAACCGTGAGTGTGGAAAGGTTGAAGGTAGACCACATCTAAACTTCACAGAGACAATGTTTAAGAGAAATGGTCTCGTTCCGCACGTTCCATTCGCTCTCAACGGAATGACATCTCCAAATGTGACAGTTATGTATACCTAGGGCAAGAAGTCAACATGACGAATGACCTGGCAGCTGATTTGCATAGGAGGAAGAGAGCAGCTTGGAATGCCTTTAAGAACATTGAAGAAATAGCTAAGAGGACAAAGAACATACAACCCCGGAACATCTCTTGATTCCACTGTTCTTCCTGCATTAACATATGCCTACGAAAACAGGATCAGAATGCTATTTGGGTCTCCCAAAGAGGAATCGAAAGAGCTATGCTTGGAGTATCATGCTTCACTCAAATGAGAGAAAGAATCCAGAGTTTCGGATTCTTTGTCAACAGTCAAGAATCAGGGACACTGTCTCATTTTCCAAGGCATTGAAAATCAGATGGGCTGGACACATAATGAGATTTGGAGTTGACCACTGGAATAGAGCCGTTACTGACTGGATTCCATGGGACGTTAAAAGATCAAGTGGCCGCCACCTATGAGATGGTCTGATTTCTTCAACAAGACCCTGAAAGATCGGTTTGAGGCTCTTTTTGTTCCTAGAATGAGCAGATGCCATTGGGCTACACTAGTAGTGACAGGGAAGAATGGAGACTTTACTGGCACCTGCTTGAGCAAATCGATGAGTAATGGGATGTCAAGTGATCAAGAGATCAAGTATTAGATGCGCAATGGATACGATGCAGTCACAAGAAAGATGATATCATATAGTTCACTGCAAATTGGAACTGGAAGGTATCATGTTAAGCAATATAAGTCAGAGGGAGAAGGACAAATACTAGGAGATCTTATTCATCTATAGTACATAGAAAGACAAAACAAGGGCATAGGCAATATTAAACAATGACAAACCCTTGGTCTTGAGTTACAACATTCCAATTACAGAGCATTAGGAAAAGATTGGAGAAATGCAGAGGTGAACTTGAAGCGAACTAGAGGCAGACAGTCTTGAGCACTTTGCTGGTGTGGAGGTGAAAAAGTCCTGCACATCAAACCATAAATGCTAACATTATTATAAACATGCAGCTTACTCTATAGTTAAATAATACTTAACGATATGGAAGAATTTGATGAACAAAGGCTAAACAGAAAACAAAGAGAAAATGTCCCTAAGGCGACACTTGTAGTGGGCAAAGGAATGTTTAGTAGTCCTTGGAAGGTATAAATGGCTGGGATAAAATAGGTTGAGGGCTGAGGAGACACAGCAGAAGACATATTCGAGTTCTGTTCTGGCATTTTTTTACTATCAAGTATTAAAGTCAAAGTTAAGGAATCATATGACTGATTTTAAACAATCAGGTAAATAGAAATACAATTTTTAGGTGGTTCTGGCTTGAGAGAGAGGAATGTGAAATGGTCTCACTGGGGAGGAATGTAAAATGTTTTCACTGGGGCACATTTTGACTGAGTTAAATGTGAAAAATATAAATTAGATATGTAAGATACAGAGCTGAGTATATGGAGCTAATTAGAAACATACATTTATCATCTACGTGTAAATCATGACATCACACTGGAAATTTATACACGATTTAAGGAGAGAATCTCTTGAGACTGAACTCTATGAAGCATTTCAATGTTTTACGTCTGATAGACTAAGAACAGAAGGCAAAACACCCCAAAAATTGGACCTCAGAATTGAGTGAAGTAACTGTAGTATTCAAAGTTCTTACAATAAAATGTTGGCGAATAGGGAATTCTAATAGAGTAATTATTAGTGAAACCAATGCAATGGGGTTCTAAATCCAATTTCATTACTAACTAAGCAGGTTTTCTAGAGCAGCAATGAAGTCTAGTTGAAGATCGTTCATTGTTCCGTTTCTGTAAAATTTTTAAAATTTATTAACGTTCTCATACTTCAAAAGATTATTTTGGCTATTAGGTATTGCTATAATATTTTTGAGACAGTATGATTCGGAAGGTAGGCAAAAGAAATTTATCTAATTAATTATTATAGTAGTTGGACTGGTGCTTTTTCTAATTCAGTCAATAAAACCAGTTAGAATATAGCAAATATGTAGTGCATTTGACCAAAAGTAAACAACTGAAGTAATTTTGGTGAAACAGGAAGGACAGAATGTTCATAGAATCCCGTGAAGAAAAATAATCAGTAAGAGATGGAAGCCAAGAGAGTCTAAAAGAGTTTTAAAAGCACCGCTGTAGCATCAAAAAAGAATGCATGAAACTAAACCAAACAGCATCACACAGAGTTTTTGAGAGGAAATACGTTCACCAGCTAGCACAGCTATCAATTTGGGGAGATATGACTCTGAGGAATGCAGAATAGATTCCCTATATAGAGGAAAGGGTGCAGAGACTGGAAAGGAAAGTGAACCTGCCATCCTTTCCTGTAATGAAAGCTACGATCTTAGGCAAAGGTGCTAAATTCAAGGTTTTGCAAAATTTTGGCTATAATTTAACAGTCTCTGAGTTGAACACAGACCCAGATCTGGTTAATCCTAACACTGGTGAGGTAGGACACTTCCCCTGATATCCAACCCACAAGCACGGTTTCAACCTCAACTCTCAGTATATGAGTTCCCTGATGTAGGTTTGCTCATATAGACTTGACACAATGGACAGGTTTACAGTGAGGACTCAGTACAAAGATTTTTAAAGTGAATGAAGCTTTGTATCTGTACTTGCTAAGTCAAAGAGTCTTGGGAATTGTACCCAAAGAAACCGAGATGAGGTCATATGTGCTTGAAGAAGCTATCCCCAGGATAAAATGTAAAAATGCCCTACTATCTACTAAGATTAGCTTGGAATATGTGACCAATATTCTGTCACTACCCAATATTACTACATTGGACGTCAGATCTAGCAACTGTGATCCCTGACCAAGTAGATTTTGGTGCTATAACAACTATAAGACATTGGTGACCATAAATTCCCTGTTGTCATTTAGGTGCACACAATTCAAAGAAGTAGACACTAATTAGATACTGCAAACATTTAACAAATTATCTCAAGGTAATCCATGGCTGTCAGAAATCACTAGAATTATAGGAATCAGCTAAGTATTGTGAATGAAGTACTGGGTTTATTCTCGGGAGAGTTAAAAGTGTGCCCTCCACACTTAACTGCCATGAAATGCCTTTCCAAAAAAGCCAGCCACACAGAAAATAAAATGGGCCAATCAGGAGTAAGGACACTGAAAAATAATTTAAAATTTCCCCAAGAACAAATGCCCAGGTCCTGATGAACACTAATATGTTCTACCAAAAGTTCAGATAGGTCTCACTATCTGTACTAGTCAAGCATGTCCAAACTATTAAAGAAACAGCAATCCATCCTAAAATCTTATGAACTTAATATTACCCAATACCAAAGCAAACAGAGATATTACTGAAAAAAATTCCAGATTGAAATCTCTGACCAACTTTCACGCAAAATCCTCCACAAAAATCTTAGTGAGCTAAGTTTAACAATATATCATCATGATCTAGTGGAATTCATTCTAAGAATGCAAGGATGGTTCAGTACATGGAAATCAATTAATGTAATAAATCCAAAAATAAAGATAAAATCAGATGAGTTTCTAAGATATTTGACCTAAATAAAGGTAATGTATTTTGACAGACGTGAGTGTGGAAAGGTAGGACTACAGCTGAATCTTACGAAGACAATGTTTATGAGAAACAGCCTTGTTCCTTATGCCCCATTCGCTGTCAATGGAACGACCATCTCCGAATGCAACAGCTATGTGTACCTAGGTCGAGAAGTCAACATGACAAATGACCTGGCACCTGAGCTGCGCAGGAGGAAGAGAGTGGCTTGGAACGCCTTCAAGAACGTCGAAGAAATAGCTAAGAGGACGAAGAATCTCCGGCTCCGGGCACATCTCTTTGATTCCACTGTTCTTCCTGCATTAACATATGCCTCAGAGACCTGGGCCCTACGCAAACAAGATGAGAACGCTATTCAGGTCTTCCAAAGAAGAATAGAAAGAGCTATGCTTGGAATATCACGTTTCACTCAAATGAGAGAAAAAATCCGGAGTTCCGACATCCGTCGAGGATCAAGAATCAGGGACGCTGTCTCATTTGCCAAGGTGTCAAAGATCAGACGGGCTGGTCAGGCAATGAGATTTAAAGACGACCGCTGGACTAGAGCTGTTACCGACTGGATTCCACGGGATGTCAAAAGACTGCGTGGCCGCCCACCTACCAGATGGTCAGACTTCTTCATCAAGATCATGAACAATCGGTTTGAGGCTCTTCATGTTCCCAGAGCGAACAGATGCCATTGGGCTACACTAGCACATGACGTTACTGGCGCCCGCTCGAGCAAATCAACAACTAACGGGAAGTTAAGTGATTAAGTGATAAGTGATTTTGACAGACAACGTATGTATATACACATATGATATTGCTGACATACATTCTTAAAAAAGTATTCAGATGCAAGAAGCATTTTCTAAATCAATTCATGTAGCACTGCACTGTCATCTGATTGTCAATCGATTTGCTTGAGCAGGGACCAGTAACGTCTCCATTGTGAGACTTGTTGTTACTGTTTTTGGCATATCAAATACACCACGGGGAGCTTGCCAGGCTCTTCCGTGTGGGTGGTATATTCTCGGTAGCTTGCCGGCCTCTCAGAAAGGGACTGAGGAATCGAACTTAGGTCGGCCGCATGCAAGGCATAGAACAGTTTGAAGTTGAGGAAGGTGTTGTCTCCCATATTCTTTTTCCCAAGGATTGTTTTAGGTATTTGTGGAGACTTATTGTTCCTTATGAATTTCAGGAGTATTTTGTGTATTTCTTTGAAAAATGTCATGTGTATCCCATAAGGACCACATGGAATCTGTAAAAAGCTTTGGGGAGTATTGCCTTTTTGACAATGTTAGTTCTCCCAATCCATGAACAGCGGGTGTGTTTCCATTTCCTCCTGTTCTCATATTTCTTGAAGTAGAATTCTGTAGTTTTCTTTGTATAGGTCATTTACCTCCAGAGTTGAGCTGATTCTAAGGTACTTCATTTTCTGCGGCACAATTGTGAACAGGATTGTTTTTTATTATCACTTTCTTCTCTTTCATTATTTGTATATAGGAAAAACATGAACTTTTGGGTATTGATTTTGTAACCTGCCACTCTATTATACTTACCTATTGTTTCTAGGAGCTTTTGGCAGAGACTTTAGGGTTTTCTAAGTACAGTATTATGTCATCTGCAAATAGTGAGAGTTTGACTTCTTCCTTTCCTACCCGGATGTCCTCAATATCTTTTCTCTTGCCTAAATGCTGTGGCAAGTACTTCTAGTACTCTATTGAATAGTAGTGACAAGAGTGGGCAACCTTGTCTGGTACCTGATCTTAGTGGGAAAGCCTGTGGTTTCTCCCCCTTAAGAATAATACTTGCTGTGGCCTTTTGGTAGATGGCTTTGACTCCATTGAATACATATAGTGTATTTGACTATATTGAAGTTCCTTCAACTGCCATTTTGTTGAGAGTTTTTATCATGAACAGGTGCTGGATCTTGTCAATGGATAAAATTCATGTATCGACATATATTTAGGCTTTCAATAACACCTTCCCATGTTCTAGTTATAAATGTGATTCCAATCATTTGATGTAATTAAGTCAAGACTGATGCCAATTTATTATATTATAATAAAAGTTTATTAAGAAATATTGATTTGACCTGTATCTATGATCTCAAATATAAATGTGCACCATTATGTTTTGCTTTAAAAATTCACTTCATAAGTCTGTATCCTTTTTTCTTTCAGAAATAAGTATTTAAACTTACCAATTTTGAGGCTGGAGTGATAGCACAGTGGGTAGCATGCCTTGCATGTGGCTGACCTGGTTTCGATTCCTTCCTCCCTCTCGAGAGTGTAGCAAACTACAGAGAGTATCGCATCCACACGGCAGAGCTGGCAAGCTCCCCGTGGAGTATTTGATATGCTGACTACAGTAACAAGTCTCACAATGGAGACATTACTGGTGCCTGCTTCAGCAAATCGATAAACAACAGGAAGGAGGACAGTGCTATAGTGTTACAGTGCTAAAATTTTAAATTATGCCATGCACATAGTTCCAAAGAAGAAAGTATTTTAACTCAGGACAAAAGGTTATGTACATGGACATCTAGAAAGATAGGAATTAAAAGCCCAGGACTTGCATGTTGCCAACCTTTTTTCAATCACTGGCAAAACTAACCACATCAGAATAACCATATTGTGCTATTTTTATTTGCTATATTTCAAGTTGCTATGCTCTTTGATATAGATACTAAATTTTTATGCAATAAATAATTTTTTAATCTTTAATTAAAAAAAGGGCCTCCCGTTGATCATCGATTTGCTCGAGCGGGCTCAGTAACGTCTCCATTGGAGACTTTGTTGTTACTGTGTTTGGCATATCGAATACTTCACGGGGAGCTTGCCAGGCTCTGCCGTGATTAATGATATCAAATATATACTTTTAGATCCTAAAGAAAAATGTGGACTTCCTCCAGCCATTGACAATGGAGACATAACCACAATGCCTTTAAAAGAATATGCTCCAGGATCATTAGTTAAGTACTAATGTCAGTCCTACTACAAACGATGGGGCAATAGTACCATAATATGTAATAAAGGAAAGTCGACAATACCAACAGAATGTTTAGGTAAGTATTTACATTTTCTCTTGCGTCCTGAAAAAAATTAATATGAAGTTCTTGTTTCAATTAAATTTTCATGAATTAAAAAACTAGTGCTCTGTTGAATGTTTGGTGATTATTATTATAGAAGAATATAAAATGTTCTTAGTTAAGTAATAAAGGCAAAGAAAGTTTCTTTAATGAAAACTCTTATTAAGATGGGCCAGCTTGATAGCATAGCGGGTAGGGGGTTTGCCTTGCATGCAACCACCCAGGGTTCAATTCCTCCATCTCTTTCAGAGAGCCTGGCAGGCTATAGAGAGTATTCCGTCAACATGGCAAAGCCTGGCAAACTACCCTGACGTAGTCGATATGCCCCAAACAGGAAAAACTAGTCTCACAATGGAAACATTACTGGTGCCTGCTCGAGCAAATTGATGAACAATGGGAGGACAGTGCTACAGGACAGTTCTTATTAAGATATTTGACATATATCTTTAATTCATTTTATTTTAACAAATTAAACTAGTACCATTTTACTTGATTCACAATTTAAATAATTTCAATACATACAATGTATTTTGCATTGTGTAAAAGTGTAAAATGTTTGATATTTAATTCTTGAGTCAGTGAAGACTGTATTTGATAGTCTGAAGTTAAGTGGAAATTTCTTGTATACTCTTAATGTCTTATATTTTTGCCTTCAGATCCTTGTGTAATATCAGAAGACATCATGGATAAACATAATATACAAATACAAGAGAGAAGAGGAAAAGAGATTTATTTTCAATGGGGAGAAACTGTTAAATTTGTAAAATTGTAAAAGTGGGTATCAAAAACAGACTGAACAGAAATCATTTTGAGCAACCTGTATGAATGGAAATCTGACATATCCAAAGTGTGAATAAAAAATATTTGAAATCTTATCTAAGCACTCATAAACTTAAAATATGTACAATTATTTAGACTTTTCTTCATTAATCCATTCTTCTTAACTTTACTTTCAAGTGTAACCTAACACAATTTACTCAGAAGTCAGAATTTATGTAACCTACTATGTTGATGCAATTATAGTCTCACGATAATGATCACAACCATCCTGTTATTCGTGCATTGCCTCGAGCAGGTCCCAGTAAAGTCTCCTTTGTCCTAGCCCTGAGATTTTTCAAAAAGTGCCATATTCATGGTCTTTCAGAGTTAGGAGAATGAGACCCACCATTGTTACTGGTATTTGGCATATTGGTTACACCATGGGGAGTTTGCCAGACTCTGCCATGTGGGCAGGTTACATTCAGTAGCCTGCCAGTTTGTCCATAGTAGGAATGGGATAATAAGATGTCATAATAAGATGTTGCGCGGCTGCAAATGCAGTTGCGCGGTTCTGGGAACTGGGTGATATAGTCTCTGAGTCTTGGCCGCTGATGGTATTACACGGCCCCAGGGTGCCAGTTGGTGGGTGTGACCCCCGCATACTGGAATTTGGAGGATCTGGGTGGAAGATGCTCAGCCCTGATCTGAGTAGGCTTCGAGATCTCAGCCCCGGGACCCTCATGCCTTTTGTTCCTCTGCTGGTACCTTCATGAGTGGGGAGAGTGGTCTCAGCATGGTGGTGGCTGGTTCTGGAGGTCTTCGGCTGCCGGAACCCTTGTCAAGGCAGGGAGGGAAACTCAACCCACTCCCTTCCAAGGGACCCTGGCGAGGACAGCCAGGCGTGGAGGCAGGAGACTCATTATAGTCTCAAAGATCCATAAATCACATTACAAATGTGCCACATTAAAATTTTGTGAAACGTGGGCCTGAGGTGATAGAGGTTAGGGTGCTTGACTTGCATGCACCACATATGGTCCTTGAACTTGCTAAGAGTGATCCCTGAATGCAAAGCATGTGTAAAACCTGAGTACTTCTAGGTAGGACACAAAAATAAATCAATAAAAGTGAAACGAAATGTGCAGTTTGCAGTCATGTAATACCAATGTTTAAAAAATTGATGTATAACCTTTACTACCTGTTTTTAATTCATGATTTTCCTAGCGTTATAAAGCCATTTTTCTATAAACTCTAAGAATTTGAGACTCTCTAATTAAGTAGAATTATAGATCTATGTCTGTCTTTGTCTTTGATATATCAATGCATGAACATATAAAGCCCAACTTAAACCATAACTCTTGGTTTGATCCGCAGCATCCTATAAGGTTTTCTGTGCTTGCCGAACATTATACCTGAGCCCATAGCCTGGTGTGGATAAATAGGAAGCTAAATCATATCAATGTTAGCAATAAGAAGTAAGTAGATCTCATGTATTTCTGGATCTGGACTCAGGGATCACTTTTAACCAGGTGCAGGAGACCTTATGCAGTGCCAGCAATAAAACTTGCATGTAAGGTATATGCAAAGTAAGCACCTTACCCATTTTCCTATCTGTCCAATCCCTTATTTTTTTCTTTCTTTAAAATAGTATTATCAATTTTATTTCAAAGTTCTAGAATACAAATTAAACATGTGTCCATTATTTGACTTGAAGTTCATGTTGAAGTATTTGGAAGAAATTTTAAATTTTAAGCATTTGTAGTTATCAACCATTTTTTATATTCCTTCAACTATTGAGTAATAGACCTCAATGACTTATTCTTAACCAAACACGTGTACTGTTTTTGTATTAAATAGTGTTATAATTAAATACATTGTTTACAGAATCAGATTTTAAACTTAAAATTTCTTTCCATGGGGTTCCATTGAGATTCACCTCCCATGGACGCTGTGTAGACATATGAGGAAATAGTGGATAGGAAATTTCCAAGTAAGAAATTTGTGTTGCTGATCACCATGATAAGTACATAAATTAATCTGATATAAATTATTCAGTTTACTATTGAAGACTTAATTGTCTTGCGTTACAAAATTACTAGTATTATGAAATAATTATAGTAAAATTAATAAAGTGGTTCACTTTGCTTGTGGATTTTGTATGAATCACCTACTTGAAATTTCTCTATTATTAACTGCATTTTTAAAATTATAGAAATGAGCTCCTACATTCATAAAAAGAGTAGGAAATCATTTTATCAACTGACTATATTTACCCTAATTTAAATAGAGCATCAAATAATATTAAATAAAATTTAATTTCAAGAAAATATTGAAATTTTAATATTTGACATTGTGTTCTAATGTAAGTTTAAAGAAAAAGTAAATGTGCTAATTTCACCAAAATTTAAAGTGTAAGAAAATTAATGAGGACAGAAAAAATGTTTTATATGTCCGGTAAACAGAACTATGATAATCTGAATGAATAAGGGATACAGGTGGGATGGGCTAGAAATAGTCAAGTCATCAAGAGTAGTCTGACTAAAGAAACCATGGTATATGTAACACAATGGAATACTACACAGCCACCAGGAAAAATAAAGTCATGAAATCGCTTATAAATAGATGGACATGGAAAATATCATGCTGAGTAAAATTAGTAAAAGGAGACAGACAGATATAGAAAGATTGTAGGATATAAAATATTGTAATATGGGGCTAATAACAGACAGTAAGAACAAGGGCCGGTAGGACAGGTCCATGGACAGACATTTGCCACAAGTATAAGGGTTGGGAAGGATCCTTTCTTGGATAAAGAAGGGACCAATAAGACAGAAATAGCTTGAAATGATCATTGTGGGCAAGAATTGAGTGGTAAAAATAGGGAAAGAAATATATATGATAACTTCTCAGTACCTATATTGCAAATCCCAGTGTGCAGAAGGAGAGGGAAAGAAAGAAAGGGAGAGAAAGAGAGGGAGAGAGAGGAGGAGGAAATTGCTTGTTATAGAGTAGAGGTGGGCTGGGATAGGGGTAGGGGGAAGACAGAGCAGGTGGGGAGGGTGGCTGGAGGGTAGCTTGGGATATTGGTGACAGGAAAAATACAATGGTAAAAGGATGGCTTTAGGAATATTGTATGACTGTAACCCAATGATGAGCAAGGTTTTAGGTGTGTATATCACAGTGATTCGATTAAAAAAATAATTTTTTTATAAGTGAAACAATATGAGGTACAATTGTAGAATTACAAATTTTCATGCTTGGATTTCAGTTATACAATGATCGAGTACCTATCCCTTCACCAGTGCCCATTCTCCACCACCAATGATCCCAGTAACCCTCCCACCCCCTCCACCCTATCCCCCCACCCCGCTCTGCCTTTGTGGTAAGGCATTCCCTTTTGCTCTCTTTTCTTTAGGGTGTTGCGGTTTGCAATGGAGGTATTGAGTGGCCATCATGTTTGGTCTGTAAACTTTCAAGCTCTCATCTTACATCCCAGGCAGATCCTCCAAACATCCTTTCCTTGGTGTTCCCTTCTCTATCTAAGCTTACTTTTCCCACAGCATGTGTTGTCGGTTTCCAAGCCGTGGAGCAGACATCCTGGTACTTATCTCAACTATACTTGGGTGTTCATCTACCCTTCTGTTATTTCTATTCCCCAGATGAGTACAGTTTTTCTGTCTATCCCTCTCTTTCTGGCTCATTTCACTTAGCATGATACTTTCCATGTAAACCACTTGTATGCAAATTTCATGAATTCATCTTTTTTTTATTTTTGCTTTTTGGGTCACACCCAGCGATGCTCAGAAATCACTCCGGGCGGTGCTTCGGGGACCATATGGGATGCCGGGGATCGAACCCAGGTCAGCCGCATGCAAGGCATATGCTCTACCCGCTGTGCTATTGCTCCAACCTGAATTCATCTTTTCTAACAGCTGCAAAGTATTCCATTGCACAGATGTACCAAAGTTTCTTTAACCAGTCATCTGTTCTTGGGCACTCGGGATTTTTTTCCAAATTTTGGCTATTGTGAACAATGCAGCAATGAAAATACAAATGCAGTTGTCATTTTGACTGTACTTTTTTGCCTCTCCGGGATATATTTCCAGGAGTGGTATTGCTGGGTCAAAAGGGA